TCAGCTCCTGAGGCTCTTGGTTCAGAAGGCTACTGGCTCCTCGGATAGACTCACTTCGCTGTTCTATCTGGGTGTCTGCTTTTCAGTTCCTTCAGCACCGCCTCGGTGGGGGTCTCTGTGGCTGAACTGGCTCACAGTATAAAAGAGCTGGAAGGAACCTGCTTAGGTGGCCTTTTGCCTATCTGCTCTTTTGCTACATGAGGACGTAGCAAGAAGGCGCTCTCCAGACTCCTAATAGCGGCACTGTGATCATAGACTTCCAAACCTCCAGAACTGTGAGTAGTAAATTTCTATTACTTGTAAATTACCCAGTGTCAGATGTCTGTGACAGCAGCACAAAGGGACTGAGACAAGGCAAGCATAGGACAGACACTTCCATTGTGAAGGGCAGAATTTGCAAGGAATTAAAGGGGTCATGGTCTCACACAAGTTTGTGACATAAAAGGGAAAACTACATTCGTTTTCAAGGCCTTAATAACTTTCTGACTCGATCCAGCCTCTGGGCCCAGTGGGTGCAGTTGGCCTTGGCCTCTGGGCCTGCAGCTCAGCCCTCCCTAGCCTCTGCATCCATGACTCTGGCCTGGGAGTCAGTCATTTTTCCTTCCATTTGTTCTGTCTCTGTACCTTTCCATCCAGGCTGGCAGTATTTCTGCTGGTATAAAATTCTCAAAAATCTTGTCAGTTTTCTGTGGCTATCAAAGGGATCCACACCTTTAGACACGAGGTTCTCCACAGATCTTTCCTGGATAACCCCAACTCTATTCCTGGCTTCTGCTGACATCGTTGATGGATCCATATGTCACACAACTATTCTCTTTAGCAAATTATTGTCTGGACACACTCTTCAGGGCAGACCTTCTCATCCTTGGCAGTATATTTAGGCCTAGAATTTTCCAAATCATCAAATCTTGGTTCCTTTTTGCTTAACAATTCTGAGGCAGGAGGATAGGGAATTAGGGTAACCAAGGGTTAAAGAAGAAGCAAAAGAACAGCAGGTGCAGCCATTTCTAGGAAAAATTGGGCAGCACACAGGCTCCTCACTCCTGTAATAAGGAGACAGAAGTTTCCATATCAGCATCTGATTGACTGTGTGCCAAACCTTCACTTCAGCCTCTGATTGGTCACAGGCCTAACGGGGTGTGTCTGATTGGAATCCTCTAAAGGGCACCAAGAGGTGTTGCTGGGTTCTTTGAGCTTCATAAAAACCCCAATTGAAGAGGTTCTTGAGCCCACTCCCACCCTGTGAATTGTATTTTTGCTTCTTTTTTTTTTCTGAGACGGAGTTTCACTCTTGTTACCCAGGCTGGAGTGCAATGGCGCGATCTCGGCTCACCGCAACCTCCGCCTCCTGGGTTCAGGCAATTCTCCTGCCTCAGCCTCCTGAGTAGCTGGGATTACAGGCACGCGCCGCCATGCCCAGCTAATGTTTTGTATTTTTAGTAGAGATGGGGTTTCACCATGTTGACCAGGATGGTCTCGATCTCTTGACCTCGTGATCCACCCGCCTCGGCCTCCCAAAGTGCTGGGATTACAGGCTTGAGCCAGCGCGCCCGGCCCTGTATTTTTGCTTCTTCAGTAAATCTGTGCCTTTGCTAGCCCATTCTTTTGTTGCTTTGTTTGTGCATTTGTTCAATTTTTTTGTTAAATACACCAAGAACTTGGACAACTCACAGTTAAGACCTTCCATTCGGGAACAGTTCCTAGCTCTAGATCTTTCCTCTTGGATTTTAATGTAAGCAGGCTGGTTTCCAACTCTTGGCTTCAAGTCATCTTCCTGCCTTGGCCTCCCAAAGTGCTGGGATTATAGGTATGAGCCACCATGTGTGGCCCCGGCTAATTTTTAAAATGTTTTCATAGAGACGGTGTCTTACTGGGTTGCCCAAACTGGTATCACACTGCTGGCCTCAAGAGATCCTCCAGCTTTAACCTCCCAAAGCACTGGGATTATAGGCATGAGCCACCACACCTGCCCCCTAACAGATATGTTAGAGTTCTAACTTGGAATATGTATGAAGTTAAGATGAGGTCATATTGGATTTGGATGGGCCCTAAATCCAATAACTGGTGTCCTTATAGCAAGAGTGGAGAAAAAGAGTCACACACAGGGGAGAAGGCAGGAATTGGATTGATGCCTCTACAAATTGAGGGACGCCAGGGATTTCCAAGAACCACCAAGATCTTGGAGAGAGGCAGGGAACAGACTGTCCCTTAGAACACACAGAAGGAACTGATCCTGCCAGCCCCTAGATCTCGGACTCCAGCCTCCACGACTGTGAAATAATACACTTCTGTTGTTTTTAAGATACCCAGTTGGTGGTAATGTGCTACTGCTACCTTAGGAAACAAAGATTTTGGTACTGAAAAGTGGGGTGCTGCCATGTTAATATATACAAACATGGAAGTGCCTTTATTAATAGAATGGGGTGATGGACAGAGGAAGATTTTTGAGGCACATGATAGACTAAGCCTAGATTGCCTTGAAGAGACAATTAGTGGAAATGTGAGAGCCCCATCTCTATAAAAAAAAATAAAATTAGGTGGACATGGTGGCATACACGTGTAGTCCTAGCTACTTGGAAGGGCAAGGCAGGAGGATTACTTGAGCCCAGGGGGCTGCAGTGAATTATGATCACGCCGCTGCACTCCAGCCTAGGTGACAGAGCAAGACCAGATTCCAATTGCAACTGTGTCACTAACTACTAGCTTTGTGCCTTTGGACAAACTTCAGGAAAACGTGGCTAATGCTACTAATCCAGTGGATTTTTGTGAGGATTAAATGAACTAAACTGTGAAAGAACTGGTCCATATTAAGAACTATATACATAGCTATATAACCAGTATTTTTTTTTTTTTGAGAGACAGTCTCATTCTGTTGCCCAGGCTGTAGTACAGTGTCGCAATCTCAGTTCACTGCAACTTCTACCTCCCAAGTCCAAGTGATTCTCCTCAGCCTCCTGAGCAGCTGGGATTGCAGGTGCTCACCACCATGCCCAGCTGATTTTTATGTTTTTAGTAGAGATGCGTTTTCACTATGTTGGCCAGGCTGCTTTCGAACTCCTGACCTCAAATGATCCACTCACCTCGACTTCCCAAAGTGCTGTGATTATAGGTGTGAGCCACCATGCCCAGCCTAACCAGTCACCTTTTACTGTGTGATGCCCTAGTCATCAGCTTTGGCCTCTCACAACTGGTAATCTCTATGGGGCCAGACCTTTAGTTTTCTGAGTTATTTCTTTAAAAATTCAACTTTTTCAGTTAGAAATATTAGCTGTTTCTCACACACACACACACACACACACACACACACAGAGCTTAAACACTGACATACAGTGTAATGACTTCCTTTCAATAATTCTTGAAGCAACCCGGTATGAAAAATATTTGTGTTTGGTCTCAGGTAGAAGGGACGGGTGTGAGTGTGACATTCCAAGGAAGGAGGTAGGCCTTGGTGAGCTGTTGAATAGAGAGGTTCTTGTTGGTGCAGGAATCACAGAGGACTTAAGACAAACCTGGGGTGACTGGGAAATTAAAGACTGGGTGCTGCATTTATGTACAGCTATATTTAAAAATTACCCCAAAACAAGCCTGGTGAGGTGGCTTATGCCTGTAATCTCTGTGCTTTGGAAGGCCAAGGCCAGAAGATCTCCTAAGGCCAGGAGTTTGAGACCAGCCTGGGCAACATAACAAGACCCTTTCTCTACATAAAATAAAAATTAAAAAAATTTGGCGTGGTAGAGTGTGCCTGTAGCCCTAGCTACTCGGGAGGCAGAGATGGGAGGATCCCCTGAGACCAGGAGTTCAAGGCTGCAGTGAGCTATGATCGCACCACTATACTCCAGCCTGGGTGACAGAGGGAGTACCTATCTTAAAAAAAAAAAAAAAGCTAAAACATGATGGCTTAAAAAAATAACAACCATTTATTTTATCTCGTTTCTATGGATCATGAGTTCAGACAGCATGGTAGGGATGGCTTGTCTCTGCTCCATGATGTCTGGGGTGTCAGCTGGAGTGCTTGAAGGTTGGGGACTGGAATCACCTGAGGCCTTTTTACCCATATTTGTATCTGGACTGAGGCTGGAATTTGATTGCTTCAAAATATTTTCACGGCTGGATGTGATGGCTCACGCCTGTAATCTCAGCACTTTGAGAGGCCGAGGCTGGCCGACTGCTTGAGCCTAGCAGTTCACAACAGCTTAGGCAACATAGGGAGACCCAGTCTGTACAAAAAATACAAAAATTAGCACCTGTAATCCCAGCACTTTGGGAGGCTGAGGCGGGAGGCTCACTTGAATCCAGGAGTTCAAGACCAGCATGGCCAACATGGTGAAACCTCTCCACAAAAAATACAAAAGGTATCCGGTTGTGGAGTCCTTGTGCCTGTAGTCCTAGCTACTTGGGAGGCAGGATCGCTTGAGCCATGGAGGTCGGATTGCAGTGAGCTGTGATCGCGCCACTGCACTCCAGCCTGGGTGACACAGTGAGACCCTGTCTCAAAAAAAAAAAAAAAAAAAAAAAAAACGGCTGGGCGCGGTGGCTCACGCTTGTAATCCTAGCACTTTGGGAGGCCGAGGTGGGTGGATCACCTGAGGTCAGGAGTTCAAGACCAGCCTGGCCATCATGGTAAAACCCCATCTTAAAAAAAAAAAAAGAAAAAGAAAAAAATCGTAAAATACTTTTGAGTTTGTGCTGGGTGGGCATAAGGGAAGCATGCTCAGTGACTGGAAAAAGCTCGGATTACACATAAACCAATGGACTGAGCGAGCAGGTTAGATGTGGAAAAGGGAACCAGCAGCGTGTCACGTGCTCTTTAACGCCGGTGCCAGAGTCTCCAGCCGCGTCCTTCACTTGTTAACCTTTCCCACCCACCCCCTCACCCCGCCAGGCTGCTAGGTCCCAGCGCCAGGCTCCGTTCCGCCCTTGGCTTCCCGCCAATCACCGCTGACTGTGGCGGCCCTGGGCTGCTATTGGAGCAGACAGGAGGGGCGGTGCCCTCTCTGGGCGGCGCGAGTGGGGAGGAGGCCACGTCCTCTCTTCCAGTGCAGCTACCGCTCCGCGCTCTGCGACCATGGCTGTGCTGGCGGCACTTCTGCGCGGCGGCAGCCGCAGTCCCCTGCTCCGGAGGCTGCTGCAGGTGAGCGGGGTCTGTCCCCACCGCGCTCGGACCCGGGATGCGAGGAGTTCCCACCTCGGAAGCGTTCTGCCCGCGGCCCTTGCGGCTCCCGTGGCCCGGGTGCTCTGTGTAGGCCCCAGGCTGAGACAGGAGAATCACTTGAATTGGGGAAGCGGAGGTTGCAGTGAGCCCAGATCATGCCACTGCACACCAGCCTGGGCAACAAAGAGCAAAACTCTGCCTCGAAAAAAAAAATAGTGCGCACGGGTGTTGTGGAAGCTGAGATAGGAATGCCGACCTCTGCCTGGTATGGGCCAGGTCTTGAGTTGGTGCTGCAGCTGAGCCCTCCCTGAAAGATAATTGTGTTATGCAGATAAAACTTAATGGATTGTGTTCATTCAGCATGTATTTACTACACACTATAAGGTTCAGTGTTCTGACCATACTGTGATTTTGTCATTCATTTCTGATATTTAATGAGCACTAGGCACTATGCTAAGGATAGGGATGTAGCAGTGAACAAGAGACACGTCCTGCCATCAGGAATCCTGCATTAGGTTGGAGGGTGAACCACATACTTAAAGTGTGAGAGGTGATTTGAAAGAAATAATGATATTCATATAAAAGAGGAAAAAGTAGAGGGCAACTTTAAAGTAGGTTAGAGTACATTCGGATTCACTTTGGGAATGGGTCATTAGAAAAGACATGAAGAACAAAAATGAGCCAGCCATGGAGAGCTAGGGAGACTTTTTGTTTTGTTTTTGATTTTTTTTTTTTGGATCACACTCTTGCCCGGGCTAGGTTGCGGTGGCATGATCTTGGCTCACTGCAACCTCTGCCTCCTCTATTTAAGCAATTACCCTGCCTCAGCCTCTGAAATAGCTGGGATTACAGGCAAGGAACGTGCCCCCATGCCCCGCTAACTTTTTTTTTTTTTGTATTTTTGGTAGAGACGGGATTTCACCATGTTGGCCAGGCTGGTCTTGAATTCCTGACCTCGTGATCTGCCCGCCTCGGTCTCCCAAAGCGCTGGGGTTACAGGCGTCAGCTTCTGCGCCTGGCCACAAACAGGTTTTCTAGGGTTGGAAATTGTGAGCTATGATTTGGACATTCACCTGCAGCTGTCAGGTTGGCGATTGGTTGTGAGTCCGGCGGTCAGTTGACAGGTCAGGGTTGGAGATAAATTTGGAACATCATCAGCACATAACTGCTTTTTAAAACCATAGAACTGGATATGATTATCTAAGGAGATAGTGAAGTTAAATGTGCAAGGCCATTCTGCCCTTGTTGGAAGGGAAAGAGGAGATAGTAAAGGAGACTGAGGTAAATATGACTAATGAGGTGGGAAGGAGGCCACGTATGTAATGGAAGCCAAGACAAGGAACAGTTTCTGCAGCGGATTACCCATATTATCTCATTCTCATTATAGCCTGTGGAGGGTATTTGAGCAAGCCAAGGTAAATATGTCTAAGTAACTTGCTTGAGAATTCTCAGCTTGCAGGGCACAATGGCTCACGCCTGTAAACCCAGTACTTGGGAAGGCCAAGGCAGGAGGATCGCTTGAGCCCAGGAGTTTGAGACCAGCCTGGGTAAGATAGTAAGACTCTGTCTCTACCAAACAAAGAAACAAAGAATACTGAGCTAGGAAGCCCAGGTGCTTAACTGCTTGGCGTGTATCTCAAATAAAGGTGAGCCCAGTCTTGCTGAGATGTTAAAAGGTTAAGTGAGACCATTATAGTGAGTTGGATTTTGCTACACAGACATTGTTGATCTTTCCCAGGACCAGCAGTGGTAAACTGGCAGAAATAAAATCTGAATCTGAGTGGGTTGAACCGAAAGAGGAGGTGAGGACAAGTAAACAGACATAGGTGCATGGAGAAACTTTCTTGCCAAAGGGAACTCAAGTGAGATGAGGCCATGCCTCATGCCTGTAATCTAGCACTTTGGGAGGCGGAGGCAGGCAGATCACCTGATATCAGGAGTTCAAGACCAGACTGGCCAGCATGGTGAAACCCCATCTCTACTAAAAATACAAAAATTGGCCGGGCATTGTGGCGTGCCTGTAGTCCCAGCTACTCGGGAGGCTGAGGCAGGAGAATCACTTGAACCTAGGTGGCAGAGGTTGCAGTGCGCTCTCGCCTGGGTGACAGAGCAAGACTCTTTTTTTTTTTTTTTTTTGAGACAAAGGAGTGAAAGCTCAGTGGGAATGTGGGTCAAGAGACATTTGTTTTTACTTTTTTTTTTAGGTGGGGGGAATCTTAGCTGTTCGTATGTTTATGGAGTTATCCAGAAATAAGAGGGCTGAATGTCATAGGGGAGAGGGAAAGGGTAACTGTGCCAGCTTCGAAAAGGCAACTGGAGATGGGATCCACAGCAAAGCGGAGAAAGTCAGGGAAGCTCCCATTAAACTGAAGTAGAAAAGAGAAAGAAGAGAAGTGGCTTAGTAAACAAGGAACAAACTAGCCAAGTAGAAACCGAACTTTTAAAACTTAAATTTATTTTTATTTCAATAGGTTTTTGGGGAACAGGTGGTGTTTGATGATATAAGTTCTTTTTTTT